TGCTGCCCTAGAGCGAAACCCATATTTAAGCTAGTAGCCGCAATTTTATAGACTTTAGTAGATTTTTTTCAGGTCCCCTTTTTACGTTATTTTTGGTCCCTTGGGAAAGATGTCCCACCCAGTTACATATCCTTAAAAGAGGCCCTGGATTTTGGTTCCGTTCGTCGCTAAATTTGTCCAAACTATGATCAAACCATATTATTTAGAAAGAGAAATCTTTGTGAAAAGATGTAATCGAATTTGTTTTGCCGTACGACAAATTTGAGCGGAGATATTTGACTTTGAAGGCGATGCGGTCGTGCCGCCAGTAATTAGCCTTTTAGGGTCCTTTTACTGTAAGTTATATTATATATAATGAGCACACACAATGTAGGCCACAGAAAATGTTACATCAACCGCTCTAAATGAGCTCATGGAGTAATTAAAAGAATGCAAAGGTATTATACTATCATGTCAACTATATTTTATTGTTAAAATGTATTTATTTGACTAATTTGAGAATGTTTTTAGAATAGTTTTGGTTGACTATAAATTTATTTATAATAACGGTTAAAAACCCGCAACACCTGATCATTCATTCTGAGATTGGGCCGCCTGTGCTCCTGCCACATGAAAACGAATGAATTCTGCGGAAATTTGTTGAGATTTTTGAGTGAATTTTGTCAAAACTACGGCAGGATGACGGCTGCCAGCACAACATGAGCTCTACCTTCGTTAGTCGTTAGAGTCTGGGTTAAGTCAGGGTTCAACATGCGTCGCGAATTTATTGTATTTATGAATATTATTCGAACTGACTAAATAGAACGAAACAATGTAAGTATAGTCTATAGGGGTCTTAATTAAAAAGCCTAGTAGGTTTCTAGAAGGCTCCTAGCCTATCCAAAACAATAGAAAAATAAATGTAAATAACTTGATATTTTTTACGGGCGTAAATAAAAAAAAAGAAAAAAAAAATTCGGACGTTTTTAACATTTTACTCATAATAAATTCAAAGGTGGAGCTCATGCTGGCGAGCACGAAGTGACAAGCTATTTTTAATCATGAATTACCTTTTTGTGTAAGAGTTGTCACATATATATAGAATTCATATGATATTATAGTGCATGGTGTGTTAATCGCTCTCGCATACCATGCGCGGTTTTATCATGATTTTGTGCAAAATATCCAAATTAATATAATTTATAATCATTTGCAAATGTGACACCATGTGGTGATATCATCTTTTCAATAACAAATGTTTAAATCGTTTGACAAATGTTCAATATCTACAGAAAGAAGCAAGCCAATTATAAATGGGTAATTTTGAAGATCGATTTATTATTGCACATAAAACGGTGCAGGAATGTCTAAAATCCTTTCAGCAGCATTTCGAAAATTCACAAGATGATAAATAATTTAAATGTTAAAATCGGACAACAGGTTATTCTTGTACATTAATACATAAATAATAAAAATATAATTACAAGTCCTAACAACGAGCAAAATAACAGAGCAAAGCAGACACGGACTGGCAATAAGCGTTGTAAATTTCAAAAAAATAATGATCTTCCTGTTTTGAGGTGTATAGTTAGTAGGTACGTATTTTATTTTTTAAATAAGCGCGGGTGTCAGAATTTACGCTCTTTTGAAGGCTATAAGCATTTAAAGATAAAAAGCAGAGCACAGCAAATAACTTTAAAACCAAACATAATAAAGTAAAAAATTTTAGTAGCTAACGTTTCATTGCTATTACAATTTTTTTGCTTTTATTATGTTTGGTTTCAAAGTTATATTTGCTGGGCTCTGCTTTTTATCTTTAAATTTCCGCCTGTTAAAGGTAGTACAGAAAAAGATAAGTAATTTGGTGCCAATTAATTTTCTGATTGCTTTAAAAGTCGTCACAAGTTCTCATGTCCTTAAAGTGGTTTCTAGTGGTTCCAATCAAGTCTCCCAAACATGTCAGAGGAACGTATCTTATAATTAGAACCTCGTTAACTAACGAGCAGATCTTATTTGTCGTTTAATTTTTAACAGCTTGTTCATATTTGGGTTATTACGAGGGTGCCATACGTATATACGTATATTGGACAGCAATGAACTAAAATTAACGCATTGTACATTGTTACGCGAGTGTGTGTTCTGTAGAAAAGGTCTTGCCCGGTTAGTGTCTGGCACTGTCTGCATTAATTTCTAGTAGTACATATAATTGATCACGCAATTTGAATTCCAAATTCGACTTACAGAAAATGAACGTAAATGGTTGGAAGTTTCTTTCCTTTGTGGTTGTCTTACAAAGTTTGATTATTTCGTTCGTAAAAGCTGGCCAAGGCCAGACAGGTTCATGTTTTTCGTCGTCTTTCTCAAGAGCTATTGGCTACATCCTTCGCGGATTTCTCATTGGGGAAATGAAAGTATCCACTGTGATAGAGTGTAAAAGAAGATGTGTTATCGGTGCCAATTGTTTATCATTGAATATATTACGTATCGCTGACGGAAGATTTGTGTGTCATTTAAACAGCAAGCGCAAAGAAAGTGGTGCCAAGGAACAATTTGTACCACACGGAGTGGGAGAGTATTATGGATTAAAGGTACTTGCGGAGTACTGTAAATTCCCAATTGGTAGTTTGCAGTCAATCCCTTGACATTTACTAATAAGACAAAGATATGGTGGCCATGATAATGGTATTTAATTGTCTTGTTAGCGTTTCACACAAAGAGTATGCGGATGTAACTCAGGCGAGTTTCCCAGTTAGCTAGGCTCATGCCTTAACATATGAGTGGACGAAACTTTGTTCGATTTTTGAACCAAATATCTAACTTTAACTTTTGCACTTTTTTAGAATAAGAGACTTTGCGATGACAACAGCAAAACATGTGACAGTGGTAATATCAAAATAAGGAGTGATTGGGATAAGCACACATGATTGAGATAAGCATAAACAGGACAAAAAAGGAAATTCTACCTTTGGGACTTGTAAAGCTAGACAAAAAATCTAGTTTCAGATATAGAAAAACTAGTTTCATAGTTATTCTGACACTGCAGAGTAGGGCCTACAAAGAAAAATTTATTTTCTATTCTAGAGTATAGAATGGATAAGACACTAGTGTTTCATATCTCTGAGGGTGGTTCTGAAATAGAACTGAAACACTGCACATCCTCCAAGACAATTAAGCGTTATTAAATTGTCACAAAAAATTAATATTTCATGAACTTAGATTGGATAAGACTCGCTAGATTGGATAAGACTTGAGATGATTGAAAATCATTGTTACAAACCATGAAGTATTATTGCACCATATCCTGGTTATCAATTCAGTAGAATATAATGTAGATGTATATTTTCTTTATAGCTACCCCATGGCATGCATTTAACCAAAGTTATTTTAAGTTTGTTCCTGTGGCACTCAGCTTTTACGATGCAATGAAATCCTGTCGCGAAGAGAAAGCTGACTTAGCCTCTACCGCCAGCGAAGAAGAACAAAGATTTGTGCAAAAAACCTTCTTGGAAACAAACCCACAAGGTAAGTATATATTCGTTTTCTTCTGCATGCCCGAATTAGCGTCATCCTGGTCCCCGGCAATAATGGACCCTAGCATTGGCTGCATTGCAATTTTTATCTGTTCGTTCTTTGTTACTGTTCGCGAACAAATCGCCTAGTGGAAAATGGACGTCATCACTACTTGCTTGCAACAGCATAATTTCATTAAGCTATTTTAAAATGTGTCTGACATTATTTAAAATATGTCCGACATAGTTGCAAATCTGTGTGCTTTTGGGACCTTCTTTGCTCGTTTAGGCACGTATTAAATCAAGATATTCTGGGAAATTTTCCCATCCCATCCGAACACTGACAATCTCTAGTTCAGCAAATGTCCTCACTTGAGGGTTCCTTTGCTTACTACCTCCTGATCTTGTGAAACCTTTATTTCAACAGGGTTAATCTTTCAGAAGACAAGCTTCTGCTATCAATAGAGGCCCTGTAAATTTGATCAGCTACAGTATAGTACTATTAATGCTATCATGCTATAATCATGTAAATTTGATCAGTACTTGTGAACCATCAAGCACATGTACTCTACTGGGTTGAGTTGAGGACTTTTTGCTGTCACCTGGAGGATTGCTGCATTTTTGGTTTTCAGCAGCATTCTTCGACATTGGGCGACGACCGACAACACAAATGCTTGGATACGATGTTGTGAGATGATACCGTGCCATTACATTAGGAAAATGTGCTATAGCAACATGAGGAACAAGAATACAAGCGTTGAGATGCCAGCAAAAAGTCGTAACCTTAACCCAATAGAGAATCTATCCTACTTATGGTTCACAAGAAAAGCGTAAGCAAAGTAAACCCGGAATAAAGGACATTTGGGAACAGTGGCGTAGCCTGCCCGACGATTCAGTCCCATTATATGCAAATATTGCCATGTTTATAAACCATCAACACAATCAATTTGCATAGCGGGACTAAATCGTCGGGATGGCTACGCTACTGTTTGGGACAGTTGGTAACGGAATTTTGCAAAATATTGAACTCCTTGGGCTTTCAACTTTTGTCAAGTATCATAACTCCATGTTAACAACATATATCTGTCTGTTTCTTAGCGTGGGGCTTCAACTGGCTAGGCTTGAACGACCTGACTGTAGAAGGAATTTTGGAGTGGAGCGATGGATCAACTGTCAGTTATACTCGATTTGCCCCCAACATGCCCGACACTGATGAGGATGATGAACATTGTTTTATAATGTTAAAGAGTAATGGAAATTTTGTAAAGAAACCATGTTGGTATCCTCAGACTTTCATCTGCGAAACCAACTACAGTTTAATGTTTACATAAAACCTTCTGCAAAACTCATAAATGCAGTCTATACAATCAATAAAATCAATATCAAGCAAAGTAATAAAACATTAGCACGCTAACCACTTGATTCAAGAGTCCTGGAGATCTAGTTGTAGAACCAATACGTTGTTATTAGTAGGTAACCCCCCCCCCCCATCCACTGTCGGAAGTAATTAGTATTCAAGCGAATGACGTCAACAGGGGAGTACGTCCGAGCTTTCGTACTTAGCGTGCGTCCAAGCGTTCGTACTTAGTGTACGTCCAAGCGTTCGTCCAAGAGTTTGTACTTAGTGTACGTCCAGTTTAGTAAGCATTATGTAATTGTATTGCACATGTCCTGACCAAGTATGCGTTCTTCAAGGTCGAATAATGTTGACGAAGTTTCGCCTATGGAATTTCGGAAGCTATGCAATTTGTTAGAGA